CGACACATTTTTAGGACCCATTATAGAGCTTAAATTGTGGTGTTTTTCAGATTGAAGATGATGCGTATCAGGAGGACCTGGGTTTCAGTCTGGGTCAGCTGGGAAAGAGCGGGAGCGGACGTATCAGGCAGGCTCAAGTCAATGAGGCCACCAAATCCAGAATCTCCAAATCCCTCCAGGTAAACCTTCACTCCACTATTAATTTACTTTTTTTTTCTTTTTTCTTTTACCCATCTCTTAAATCCCTGTACTTTTCTGTTGCACACAACAGAGGACCTTGCAGAAGCAGAGCATGACGTATGGAGGAAAGTCCACAGTCAGAGACCGCTCCTCAGGAATCAGCTCCAGTGTGGCGTTCACTCCTCTTCAGGTAAAGAGTTGAACGTCGTCTTCTTTTGACCGTCCCTTTCGCACTGTGCAGGCTTATATCGGCGAACTAACCGTTGTGCTCTTCTCTGCAGGGCTTGGAGATAGTGAACCCACAGGCTGCAGAGAAGAAGGTGGCTGAAGCCAACCAGAAGTACTTCTCCAACATGGCGGAGTTCCTCAAAGTCAAGAAAGAAGCTAAGCTGTGAACACCGACACACATCCTCTCCCTGCACACGGACAGTTGCACTCAACACTGTAACGTGATAGTATATTTTCAGTCTCGGTCAACATTGTGCTTAGTCCTGTATGTTTTTACTCTTTTGTTTTTTCCATTTTAATAAAACATGAAGCTTTCACAAAGCATCCCGTCTTCCTTAGAGATGGAAAAAAATTGCTTTACTGTACAAGTAAATGCAAACATCAAATCTCAACCAATTAGCTGGAAGTTGATACCCGGCCGCCAAGGTTGTCTATATAAGTGAATCCATATTCCATTTAGGAATGACAGGACTTTACACCACACACTGACTTGTAATTTCTTAAAAGTATTTATTGAAATTTTACAATCCTCTTTATACCCCCGTTTTATGTCTTCCATGCAGAACTGTGAGAAAAAAAAATTGTAAATACATCTTGAAATTCACATTTTAGCAATCTCTTAACTGACCAACCCTTTCTGAAAACCTTAAAAGCCCCAAAAATAGAATCTATAAAAGGCAAATCTCTCATGACTTTGCTGTATTTTCCTTTTTTTCCTCACATCCTCAATTCCCCCCCCACCCCCCCCAAAAAAAAAGCCTGAAACAAATCACATATGAAATCTTTAAATGCAGTACAGACCTTAACTTTTCATGGTTGCTTAAATGGAAAAATCTGATTCAGTTTAACACTCTCCCCATTCAAACTGCCAAGAAAAGGTGTGATCTGTCCCGCACTTGATTAAGCCTTCTTGTTCTTCAGTGGAGCACATGAACATCCACGGCAAAGTAGACATTTCTTACTTGACCCACAAATCTACCAGCAGACTTTTAGGATTTGTGTTTTCACTCTACATGTAAACAGTTTCAGTGCACATTCACTGTGTAGGGGTTTACTTAAAATATCAGGTGGTAAACACGGTGGGTTTTTAGGATGAAGCATCAACGGAATAGAATAAAATCTTAATTTAAAGTGGGAAGTTGACTCGAACCAATCTCAGATTTGTTATCTAACGCTATCGGTGTATTGGGTACAAGTACATTCACTACTGTTACCATGGCATTTTGCATTGAGGATGATGAGTTGCTCGATGGTGTACAAATCAAACATCACAGATAAAAATGTCTCGAACCCTATATTTAAGATTTATTTTACAAGTTTATTAATTTGTCACAAACATGAATGCGCCATAATAATGCATTTCCTTTTCTTGACAGGTTAACTTAAAAACATTTTATTTGTAAAGAGAGGGAGTCGGAGACCAGTTCAATTGCATAGCAATTTAATCCATGTCCAATAAGGACTCTTTCCCTGTCACAGGGAGAGGCCCCGTGGTCACTCTCAATAAGCGTTTTAATCGACCAAGACAATATCAATAAAAACTATTGATAACCGCTCACTATCTCTAATAGTGACCATATTCAACAGGCATCGTAGGGTCTTAAAAGAAGCCAGTCCTACACACCGTGACTAAATGTCCACTGTACCTCCCCATTCTACTCAACCAAACTACAGGAAATACAAGATGGCCAGTTTACTTAATCAAATCCAAGGTTTGTTTTGTGTCAAGTCAAAGGCTTCCAGGCTCATGTTGGGTAGGTGGTATAGAGAATCTTGTTGAAACGAAAAAGAAAACATGAGAAACATGCATGGGGTAGGCTTTCCTAATGCCACATACTGAGTGTGCACACAGACGGGCACAAACGCAGATCTCTAGTGAGAACCCTACCAACTCGAGCAGCGTGGTGCATTTGATCAGGCCCACAGGGCATTTTTGTCAAAAGCAAAGCGCTACAGGAGGATCGAGGACTTCACGTTGCAGCCTATACAGACACCAGTCTCCATTTTAGGAGAGGGTTTCTACTACACATCACAATCTCTATCCACAGTTTGAAGTTCAGTCTCGGAATGTCAACAGCAGCACGTTTTGTCTCTCTCTGTCCTTTTGTGTCACTCCGTCCGTCACTGCAGGTCTCGGTCCTCGAGGTACCTGTACTCAAAGGTGAACCCCTCCTTCTTCCTCTGGCCCCATTTCTCATAGTCAAAGTAAATGTAAGTGCCCTGCAGAATCAGCAGAGTGGAAAGAAGAGGCATTAAAAACCTGGAACCACAAACCCGATACTTTATTTCAAACTTTAAGAGAAAAATGTGTACTGTGGGGAGTCTGCACCTGTTCAAATTCATCGGTTATAGTCTTTGGCTCCTCGTGTCTCTGGAACCACATCATGTACTTGGTGTGAAACCTCCATGACTGTTTCTTCAGAGCCTTGGCAGACAAATACTGAGCCTTGGTGCCCTGAGAGAGGAAGGTCAAATACACCAAGCTTACATCACTGAGAAACAAACAAAAAGGTTGTCTGGGAAAAGCTATTGAGGGGCTGAGTCGATTGTTTTACCTCCAGGTAGTAGAAGATGAAAAAGAGTGTTTCTGTGGACAGCCTCTGGTAGAACTCTATAGAGTCAGAGTGGTGCGGTGGTATCTGATGGTGGAAGGGCAAGGTGGGACACGGATTCCTCATCAGGTATTGCCTTTAGGACAGAAGCACAGACGGTTCTAAATCCATCAGGGAAAACAATTCTTCAAGTAAAGGGTACAACCACACCATTAAACAAACCAAATCCAAAGTCATAGTATGTTGAAAAAAAGTCAGTGTAGTACAGGGTTCACTAATAGGTCGACCGCAGTTCGGGTCCAGATATACTTTGACAGAGCGCAGCTTTTCCAGCCTTTACGGCACTTGTTCAGCGGTCCAGGAAACACCGAGCAATTACACGCGTTGTAAAACATATCACGTGATGCTACTCAGCCAATCAAATGTGTATTTTCCAATAATTATCGCCCTTGACTCGAGTGAGATAAATGCACACACTTGGCAGAGACTAGAGTCTTTAAACTAAGAATGGACAGACTCTTAAATGTTCATTCTTCCCAACGGCAATTCAAAACCAGTGTGTCTCGTGTGTTCAGAGACTGAAGGAGCAATGTGAAGCGCCACTACGACAAAAAGCACAAATCTTTTGAGCAAACGTACCCACTCGCATCCAACATGAAGGCACAGAAAATGAACCTAAGAGCTCAATATGATCAGAATCCCAACATAAAATGTCCAACAATGATGTTAACAGAGAGGAATAGAGCTGAAACAATGGTTTTAATAACAGATAAAGTCCCTGCAAACAAATGTCTCTTATTAGAAGATGAGAAGAATATAATATAGAGATCCCTTCACACCTGAATTAACTGAATTTAAAGCTGCAGGACTATTCAGTTCATTTTTCTAAAATTAAGTACTTAGAGAAGTATATTGAATATCACGCGACTCATTCTTCAAACAGGTTATAACGGATGTGCACATCATGTAATAGAGAGGAGCCATGATGATGTACAGTAAAAAGGATATTTAAACTGGGATAAAAAAAAATACAATATTGCTAACTCAATAAATCATTACCAAATTATCAAAGCAAGTTTGTGAAATTACAGATTTAAAGCCCAGCTCTTTGTTTGAAAGACGCATCATCACCAGTAAATGAAATATGTCGTCACCTGATCCTCTCAGAGTCGGAGGGGTGTGGCATGTGTGTCCATGCGGACTCCTGCATGGCCTGCTGGTAGAGCTGGTCTTTGGGGAGGGGGGTGGGGCCGAGTGGACAGACCCCGAGCGACGGGGGGATGCTGACTTCCGACACGGACGGCTGAGGGGCGGCAGGTGTGCCGGGCGCTGCAGATGAACCAGAGAAGATATCTGCAGAACAAAGAAAAAGTGAACGATTGAGTCGAGACACAAATACTGTAGAGACTCTTCTGTACTCGTTCACACTGTGTTTTGTCTCGCTAAAGGAAATATATTTAATAAACTTCTTTCAGGAGCACTGTTCTATTTACGAGTTGTACAGCTGCAACTACCAATTTTCATTATAGACTGTTTACATTTTGTTCAATGTCTGAAATACACTCAGTGTAGCTAACAAAGAGAATACCATTAAGAGAAGCAGCCACTGTACTCATGAGGTTGTAACTAGTTGATGTTTATGTGTTTACTTAATACCTGACAAACATTTCATTGATAATTGGAAACTTAAAATCAATTTTCTGTCAGTTGGCAAATAGATTAATAGTGTTAGTACTTTATGGTCATTTTGACTTTAACATCTACTGTTACAATGTGCCAACAATGGAGTAAAAACATCCTCTATTAATCCCTAAGTCACCTCCATTTCATTAATAGGTCAGTGTGTAAGTCAGTGTAATAAAAACAAAAAGTCTGACCGTTCCGACCTCTGTCTGTTAGGTGCAGGTTGGGAATCTCTCCATCCAGGCCTGATCCCAGCGCTGCTCTCTCAGCCATCGCCTTCAGAGAACTGAGAGGTTCAGGGGCCTGAGGTGGGAACGAGATCGAGATAACACATGAACTGGGGGGTTGATCGAGGAAAACCTACAGTTATGGGCATTAGAGAGCAGAAGGACAATGTACAGGAGCATTAGAGATGAAATACCAGAGCAGAAAAACAATTACTATTACAGCTGCTACATTGACCTACAACAGTCAGAGATGCCTCCCCTGAAAAATCACCTCCTGTCTAAAACGATGCACAGCCAGCAGCAATGACGTGTATCAGACACAATGAGCATAAATAAAAAGCACAGATAACGTATACTAACATAATTATATTATACATTCTGTACTGATACAGTGTGCAACACTGTCTGCTTCGTGGTGTCTAAATATATCCTGACATGATTTCTATCTAAGTGTACCTCCGGGTAGATGTGGGTTTCTGTGTCCGGTATAAATGTGTCTCAGAACAGAGGTTCGTGGGCAGTCAGGGAGAGTTTAATGATGCTATTTACATCTGAGCTCATCAGCGTTCTCCCCTAATTTATCAACAAAAGTACCCAGAAAACTACAAATGCCAGCAAAGTAATTTGGCAATATGAAAAATAATCCAGTTGCATAAATGATTAGACTGGAGACCGCAAGACAGCGGCTCTTCTTCCTCAGCAGGAGAGGTTCAACGTAACTCCAGGATACTCCGCATCGTCTACAGATGCACCATCCCAAGTATCCTGACCGGCTGCATCACAGTGGTGTTGCAAGAGGGCCAACGAGATCATCAGAGACCCCAAAGACCACACCCACAAACGGGTCTGCCTGCTGCCGTACGGCAGGCTCGGGGACAGCTTCATATAATAAGACTTTTGAGCTCTTGAGCTCATTGCTCGACACTTAGCGATAATATTGTGACTTTATTTCTGTATAATTTAGATACTGTTTTACAAACTGTTACCAACCCTGTGCATATATTTATTACTTCTCATTATGCATTTATTAGATCACTTTTCAGTCAGTTAATCCATTTGAAACACTGTAAACTACAAATTAATATTTCTTTATTTTTATTTTAGCCGTCTAATTTAACAAACTATTCTATGCCTTTGATTGGAGCCCGAGATCTTAGATCTTCATTGACAACTACACTTCTCTGAAACTGTTGTGCATATAATAACTGAATCATTATTAGGTCTTAAGCATCCATTTAATTTACAGGATGCGTTAATATTTACTCTTCAAGCACTGATGAGGAATCAGTGATGAGAAGCATCCTTTTTGCAATGTGAGGGCAGATATAATGATTAGTGTAGAAAGCTGTTTCTCCCACAGTCTGACATGCCAACCCATGCTATGGCCCCTCACCTTGAGACCCTCAGAGGCCTGTGTGTAGGAGTGGGGCCCGTTGAGGAGACTCCCTCCTCCGGGTGTGCTGTCTGAGAACGAGGGGGACGGAGAGCTGGGAGGCAAGGTGATGGAGCTGATTAAACTGGGACCATTGTCCATCCTGCAGCAAGTAGAGTGGGAACAACAAAGAGACATGTTAACAACTATCACGTAAGAAGAAGAAGAAGTGATCAAGTGAGCAACAAAGAACTCACGCCTGACTGGTTGAAGAACTGAGAGATGAGGGTTGGCTGCTTTGTGACTGGCTCGGTGTGCTTAGAGCTGATTCTGTGGAGTTCTCTGCCACTATGGCACTGTAACCTGAGGACAGGTGAGGACAAAAAATATCTAATAAAGAAAGTTGACTTAAACAGATAAGTAAAGAGTCACACAAGGCCAAGCGCAACAAAATGACGTACTTGTGCTTCCGTTTTGCTTCAGTCCACTGGGTGGTCTAGCAGGAGCAGCATTCAATCCTACTCCTCCCACCACGCTGACGTTCCCTCCATTGCCTCCCATCATGCCAACCACTCCGGGGATAGTGCTGACAGAACTCGGGGGCAACTGAGAGGCACCCGGGTCTACATTTTGCCCAGGAACCAGTCCCAGAATACTTGCGCTCAAAGAGACGTGGGCCGGGCTGGAACCTAGCAAACCGAGCCCGACCACCACCCCGTTGGTGGTGATTCCACTGGAGCCAGAGGTGGGTATGGAAGTGCTGCTCTCTACTGAAATGCTGGACTGGGTGGTGCTGCTCAAACCCAAGCCTCCCAATGCTGCTGCCTGGGCGTAAGGGGCCGATGTGGAGCCTAAAATGAGCCCTGCCATTGTGTTTAAAGGAGACGAGTGGACACCCAGGCCCAAACCAGACATTTGGTTGGCACTGCTGGTCCCCATCAGGCCAATTTTGCTCAATCCCAGCCCCAGTCCGAGTCCCAAACTGGATGTAGGGGTGGGCAGAGATGTGAGCTGAGACTGAGAGTTGGTAGCTGATGAACTGGGTGTGCTGAGCATGGGGAGAGAGGGTGCAGTTGAGGCTGGGAGAAGAGGGTTGCTGGGCGGGCTGGGGGTGTTGTTTGATGGGGCAGAGGGTTTTGTCTGAGGTGACTGCTGCTGCTGTTGTTGCTGCTGCTGCTGCGGCGGTTGGTTGGCTGGCTGAGGTTGTTGCTGCTGTAGTGCAGATTGATGCTGATGTTGCTGCACCGCACTGCTGAAGCTCCCTATAAGACTGCTGCTTGGGGGAACAACGGGAATGCCTCCGACAACACTTGCCATGGACACGAGGGAGGAGGATGAGGAGGATCCAGAGGTGGTGGAGGAGGAGGAGAGGGACGATAGCAAGGATGGGGTGCCGTTCTTCACAGGTGACTGAAAATGAAAAGGCACCAGAAAAATAAACTTCAGACAAACTTCACAGCTGTACAAAGTGTGTGAGGAGCAAAGTGAGTGTACTGTGAACTAGAGACAGAAGTCCCCAACAATGGTCCCACAGAGAAAAAAACTTCAGCCTCTGTGCCTCTCCAGGACCACGTGTGAAGAGCGCTGCACTAAACTGTTTATCTACCGGCACGGTACAGATGAGAGCCTCTCACCTGACCAACTTCACTGTCTGTTGATCGTCCTCTTTTCTTATCGTCCTCCGAGTTCTCCTATAGGAGGAGATACCTTGATATGACAATCCACTTTCGAAATGTTGATTCTTAAATCACTTGTGTCAGAATGTACTTTTTCTACCCAGCATCCCTTAAACACATTGACACCAAGTTGTAATAATACAAACACAAGAACATACAGCAGTGCAAGTGGCCGGGGATGGAGGAATAGGTGACGAGGAGGTTGTGGAAGTGGGAGTGCTGCTGGAGTGGAGAAACATCTCATCCTCCAGATTGCCCTGACCCGATGGAGAAGTTGCAACTAAGGCTGCAGCTACCAGAAAAACACGGGACAGAGAACAGTGCAAGATGCTGTCATGATAGTCCACCTGATGTCTGAACAAAAGCAGCATCGTAACACTCCACAGCGCTCTACTCACGGATGTCTTCCAGGTCTAAGTCGTCGTATATGAACTCGTTCTCTTCAAAGTCCGGGTCTTGGGAGGAATCAATGTAGTATTCGACATCATCCTTGATCTTCTGGATTGCATCTACCGGTACCGAGTCATTATCCAGCATTCGTAAAATGGTCTCCAACATGAGAATGTGGAATCGATGCCTCTCAATCAACCGCTTGAGCTCCTCGATACGATCTTGCTTCTTTATGAAAGACAGAATACAAGCATGAGGTCTGTGACAAACATCTGACTCAAACTGTTACCAGACTACATTGGGCTACACTACGCTGCATATTCAGTGTGCAGAAAAAAAAAAAAAAGTGTCCTTGAAAATAATTATGGTCGACTTACATCTTTATCGCCCTTCTTCTTTTTCGTCTGAACCGAAAGCGATTCAACCTCACTTTCAAACTGATCCACCTGCATATTTAGAGTGTCTATTGTATTCTATGCGTGAGGAAGAAGTCAGAAAAAAGAGCATTAATGGATTCAATCAAAAGTTCCTCCTGAAACACATTTGTTTTTTAATCAAACTGCCTTATTTAATAAACCCTGGGTGATACGTTATACTTAGTATTTGACCAAAAATGTTCACAACAATAAGTACAACAGGTAGAGATAATAACGGATGTATTACTGTTAGCCACTGTCCCGTTTCCTCTTTTTCCCTCTGAGCTGGATCCACTTTCTGAGCGAGCCCTAAGCCTTCTTTAGAGTAGGCTTTTGTTTTTGTTTCCCGTTCCACCACCTTGAACCGCTCCATTTGCTAAGGAAAGAAAAATCACAAAAGCCTTGTTGAGTGTTTTGATGAACAAACAGTAATAGACCTAAAACAAGAAATGATGGAGAAGCATACCGTCTCTATAAGTTTGCGGTTCTCGACTAGCTGCCTTTTGTCTTTGATCTCGTTCGAGGCCACCCATGTTTTTATCTGATCTCTCAATCGCTGGGAAGAGGACAGACAGAAAAATATAACCACTTTCAAAAACACACATTGTTGTTGAAGAGCACACACACACAGCAAAGGGACAAGACAGATGTGCTTGGTAACTTGACTTACCTGTAGTTTTTTAATCTCTTTCTTGAGGTCAGCCTCATATTTTTCCTTCTGGTTTGCATTGGCTGCATTGTGAAGCTAAAACGTAAACAAATAAATGAGATATTTTAGGTCATGCCGCATCATTTTTTAAAATAGAGTAATAAAAAATGCAGGATGTAAAGATCTTATACCTTTTGCCAGATGTCTTCAAACTGTTCTACACCTTCAGCTACTTTTTTTAAACATCTATCGATCTCACCTGTGGAGATAAAAGATGTGGTCCAACATTATTGCATAAAAATCTGTGCAACACCAAAAACTTTGCTAGATGAAGTCAGTCTGAGTCTCTCTGCAAGATGCCAGGCTGGACAGTGTGATGGATCCTGTGCAACATTACTGATGAATTACACCAACAGTCTTACCTTGTAGTTTTCTCTTGTCAGCCATGGCTCTGACTACGACTATGTCCACATTCCGTCTGTCACAAAGTTAACTATGTAAAGAAAACCAAACGTGCATTCAAACATAACACAAATCCCTTCAACAGAGCATCAGTACATTGGTTTCCAGAGAGTCGAACTGACGTTACCTCCAGCTAGCTGGCCAGTTAACGTTAGCTGCACAAATAACGTTATATATTCATAATTTAAGGACACTTTGAACCAGAACTTTTGTATGGTGGTTTGTCTATCGTTATATTTACGTGGACAAACCTGATCTTGCTGTTACCAAAATGACTGACATGGTTATCTGCTAAAATTAGCATCCTAGCCAGCTAACGCTACTATTAGCCAGTATCTTAGCACGTCCACCTCGCTCGGCTACCAACTGGCCCCTTTCAAAACAAATAGCGCCAAGCATATTGATGGGTGGGCGTTATATTCATGCATCATTATTTTGGGGCGCAGACAAGCTTTTATATGGTGGTTTTGCATGGTGAAAGGCACAATATAACAGAACCCGTTCTAATCGTTAACCTGCTAGCTAATATGGCTAACTGTCTGACTAGCTAATGCATAAAATGCTAGCTAGCAGCTTAGCTAGCCAGCTAGCCAAATTTAGGTAAAAGGGAAACTGAGCATCTAGATTTATAGTTGTTTACGACATTTACCTAGGTTATGGGCTTTCGTTTGTCTTTTTCAAATACAGCCAAAACTAATTCCAGAAAGTCTTCTTTACTTCCAAATTGTGTTTTCTTTTCGACAAGCTCGCTCACTGTAATGTAGCTGAAGATGGACGGTAGCTAAAATCCCACCTCCGCGTTTAGGCCCCGCCCTAAATTTAATCTACAACATCTAATTGGTCAGAGCTCACGCCTGTCATTAACAGACATCCGCTGGTATGGGGTTAGGCCATTGGCTCGGCCGTCTGATGAAGTATGATCGACACACAACAAAAGCTGCATCTAAAAGAAGACATTCACAATAGTCATTTTCTGAATAGTTTATCTGTATTAACCTCTGACTGCGTTGTATGGATATTTTTACTAAGATATTATAGATTTTTATTTAAGATAGATATTGAATTCCTCGTTATTTCATGGTGACAAGACATTTATAGAAATTGATCTCCATAACAAAGAAAGACTGTGAAATGAGGCTAAAAGCTCCAGGAAAACCTAGCAAATCGACCTACAGTTTATTTTTAGAAACATAATGAATCACAGTTTAAATTGTGAACATGAATAAAGGTAGTTGTCAGCAAAGCCCTTTCTAAGCACCTTTAAAAAGTTTAAAAAATAAAATAAAAAACTATAATTCAAAAACCTTTTAATAAAAACATTTCATAATAAAGTCTGTCCAATTCCAGTATATTTCAGCATTTACTGAAATAAAATTGTGAACCATGAATTCAATGATAGTATCCAGGAATGTATTAGGAAAGCCAATAATAACCCCACAATCATTTTATTTAGGTTGCCAGATATTTACCAAACAAAGCTGTCCGTGACAGTGTGCACGGTTTGCCAGTGGTCATAATTATGTTTTGTCATCATCTCCTAAGTACAAAAAGCGACAACAGAAAATAATATATACAAAACAAGTGAATAACATCTAATTTTACCTTACATTAATTATTTCTATTCACAATGTTCAAGTAAAACTACAAACAGTGCAACACCTGGCTGAACAGAGGCAAAGTATCTACTGAACAGTTAAAGAAACTAGGTTGTCCTTCAGCATCATCATCATCATCATATCCAGGGCTGCAATGCAAGTTTAGATTAGTGGGACAGAGAAGTTGGGCTGGGCATTTCTCCAAACTGTGTCTCTGACAACACTGACATGTCTGGTTCAGTCTGGTAAAAAAACAAACAACAAACAAACAAACAAATCAATTATCCTTAAATCTCTCTTTCACTCACTCAAGTACTAATACACTTGAATAGACAACAGCAGTACAGCAGAGTCCTTCTCTTACCTGTTGGTCTTTATCCTTTTCATGCCGTGGAATTCGGTGCCTCCTCCTCTTCGGTCCGGCAGCATGAGGCATTGCTGCTGACAAAGTGGAACCAGACACACCGTTGAGCCGTTCATCCTCCACTCCAGACGCAGGATCTAAATGGGCTTCGGGCTCATCCTTAAAAATAAAAAAAAAAGGTGAAAACTTCAAAAATGAATCGTATAAATTGAGCATATGTTATTATTATTATTATTGGTACATCAAACAAATCAGCAGACCTGCTGGGTAACTGCCCTTGTATCCTTAGAGGACCCAAAGCCCCAAATTAGCTGTGTGTGTATTGGGTTTTGGTCATCTAAACTCAAATATCAACTAAAGTGTGCATTCCTGCATGATTTCCTGATTTTGTGTCCCTGTCTTGTACAGGAGTTCTGTGTCAAAATCCAGATTAAGAGACCTTAATTATTTTAGTTTACATTGTCCTCGCATGCTAAATTTCCTCTCAAGAGGGGGGTACATTTTTTGCCCCGGGCCCCGTAACAGGTTAATCCATCCATGATCAACTGCTGTAGTAAAACAAATTAATACAATCTAATCAAGCCTGAATTTAGAGATTATGCAGAATTTTAAATTTGAATATAAAAAATAGGAGATCATTATTGTCAAAAGCTGGGGTGATAAGTCCATTTTTTTTTTCCTTTAAATGTCTCACATATGGCCCCCTGTCCGACCTCACCTCTAGAAGTATCGTGAGCTGGGCGTTTCTGTAGTCATCCCCATGACCATCTAAAGTCCTCATGAGAAACCTGCAAGATTAACATAATTGTCAGATGGGCCATCAAAGTGGGAAACGCCAAAAATGTAGTTACTGTTCTGAGGTTTAGTACCATCTTTCCTTCTTCACGCGCCGTGTAATTCTTTGTACTTGATGAAGACGACCTAGAATCTTCTGATTCACCTGAAAAAAAGACACAAATGGAAGTGATTACAGATGCACCATCATACTTGTCAAATATGAACATTAAAATGTCCAATATCTGATTATTGAATTGGAATTTTAGGGAGTTTTTTTTTCATAAAACAGTGTAGAAAAGCAGCAGAATAATAAGAAAGTATCATAGTCTTTGTTAAAAACAATCATATTGCAGAAGGTTATAATAATGTATCAGTAATCAGTATCCATACCTAGAAATTATGTGAGAAATTAGGAACTAAATGACAATAAACCCCAAAATAATCCATATGCCAACCCTGAGACACACATATGCACATATGCTTGCACACACCTGTTCAATATCTTTACATCTCCTGTTCAGAGCCAGACATTTGCTCTTATCCAGCGCTCTTCTCTCTTCATCCTCCTGTGCCGTACTCTCCAGCAGCTCATTGCTTCCCGGGCCCAGCTCCACCTGAAGAGACAAAAAAACAACCAAGTTTCTGTTTTGTGTTTGACCGTCTGTGTCAAGTGTTTTAAGTGTGTTTCGACAGTTGAAAAATGACCTTCAACCCCAGCAGATCCTTGCTCCATCCACTAAGCTACATAAAGTAATATTTTAAAAAATTGTGCCATTTGTAGATCACATTCATGACATATGTAAATAGATAATGGGTGTGACTGCAGCTTCTTTCTTTAAAGACAGAGCTCATGACTTAGGTGGTGTTAAATCTGGTAATACTATTTGGTACAATTAGCACCAAGACAGCTATGTGCCATGTTTCTCGTGACTTGGACACACTGGGAGCACTGGCTACTGTCTGTTCCCACTTCCTCTCATCCACATAAGCATTACCATGATCATTATCATTAACATTACCGTGATCATTATCATTAACATTACCTCTCCTGGTCCCAGCTCCACACCACCAGGCTCCAGCTCTGCCTCCAGGATGTGTCCTCCAAATAGAGGAGGCAGAGCCAAACCAGAGAAATCCTCCATCATCTGTAACAGGCGGAAGATTATTTTATTATGAAAAAAAACCTTTTTAATAACATTATTTATGCACAAGTGGTATATGCAAATACGATCTCACTATACCTGTAATGCCAATTTTTTAATTAGTGATGCATTAATGAGTAAGCACCACTAACGATGCAGCTGGTAAAGGTCCAGATTTATGTTTTGTATTGTAATAATCTTAATCTTATGTAGTGAAGTAAACAGTACAATGTTTGCCAAACGTAGTAGTGTAAAAGTATAAAGTGGCATAAATTGGATACACTCAAGTAGAGTGGCATTACAAGTACCTAACTGACTATCATTATAGGTCTCAGTATACACAGTACTTACATTTCTTAATGTCCAAACACAACGGTGTCCTGCGTGTTTTATAACTCCACCAACGGTTTCTAATGGTCAGTCTAGTATTAGTATTAGTCTAGAGTTCACACACACACTTAGCTTAGAGCATTTACTAACATTACATTTTGCTAAAATCGAGCGTAAAGCAAAACAAGTGCAGCTTCTCTGCCAGTCTCGTCGACTAACTAATGTTTTTCTTTTTTGCGACGGACGCAACAATTATACGTCACATAGTAGTTACTACATTTCCCATGAACACCCGCGGGATTGAAACTACATAAGACAATATGGCGGGTATGTTTCTATATATATTCATCTTTTGGACAAACAGCCGGTGTAATTAGCTGTATTACGACCTCGAGATAGCATGAATACATACTTAAACATTTGAAACTACGCTATTTAGGTCTCAGAGTTACTTTAACACATTGATATCCACTCGAAATTAAAGGAAAAACGTGACCTTGGATGCGATGCTAACCGTGGCTAACGTCAGCTAACTGTGTTCAACGGTCAGCTGTGGAGGATTTGAACCTGTCCTGTTTGTGTTTCTGCAGGAATAGCAGCGTTCCTGAAGAATGCGTGGAATAAGGAGCCTGTTATCCTGACAGCCTGTGCTATCGGACTGATGGGTCAGTAATCAGCCTCCTGCACAACACTGTGCTTAATAATGGCCATGATACTAAAGCAACATTTGATATGGAAGGGAATCAGAAGTATCACATAAGATGGACCCGTGAGATTCCAGTGGCATGTATTTACTGTAACTCAGTTCAGTGCCATTCCGTTTATGATGTAACATGTGTGTGTTACATTAAAAGAGTAAAACAACAAGACATCCTTTTGAAAACACTATTTATTGTTTCTCCATTTGTCAAAATTCTTATTTCAAGATGATTTGGTTATCAGATCTAATCTCGAAATTGTGTGTCCTCAGGTCTGGCTCTTCCATTAATCAGCCCCATCACAAAATATACAGCAATGATCAACTCGTCTACACCGTACAACTACCCAGGTAAACGATGCCACACAATGCTGATGCCTCTGACACAGCTCTGGGTATTTCAACCACTTCTACACCCGTCTAATCAATTATTAAAGCTCCTCCTCCTTTCTTTCTTAATGCAGTCCCTGTGCGAGATGATGGAAACATGCCTGATGTCCCTGCTCATCCGGGTGAACCAAAAGGAAAAAACTTGGATTGGCTTAAAAACTTTTAACTTCATATTTGCACGATCAACACCTGTGCTGTTCATATGTGTATGCAAAGCTGCTCCACCTACCAATGTCTCACAATAGAGATTCATTTACTTCTACGTTTGTTCCACACTTTTTGGTTTGGATACATGTTGCATGTTGTGGTACATTACATCATGAACATTTCAGAAAATGTTTTGTTGGTCTGTTTGTCTGAGTTGAACAAGGCTTTAGTCTTTTTGATTTAGCTCTTTATTATAACCAAAATCTCTTAACACCAACAAATGTCAAAATAAACAAATTTTTTTCATCACAAAACCTTACCCGGTGTTGAGATTTCCGTTTTATTTTCTACAGCAGATCGTGAGAGTTTTGAAACTAAGCTTCAACACAATCCTTTAAAAGAGGCTTAAATTGACAAAGCTGAAATCAGATTAACACTGTTTAAATATGAACTCCTTGTTTCATACCAGCATTATTCTACTTGCATGAGTAAGAAAGGAAGTGGGACAAAATGTGGAGCTTAAAGCCTTTAAAAATCATCTGTTTGTACATGTTCTGTGTCCTCCACCCCCACAGACAGACTCAAAAATATACATGCAGAGCAAAAACAATTTCCTTCATAGAACTTTTATTTCACAAAACTTCAATATTCAGTGTTTTAGATAAAGAACGTCTTCCTCAGCAATATTCTTCATCATAATATCTTCTGCAGTCACCAGGATTTGATGTTGATGCAATTCAGAGAACAGACTGACAGGTCTGTCTACGTTGCTTCATATTTTTCACAGAACCTAGGAACTGTGTAAAATGGGTGTGCAATATTAAAACAATATTTCACTTTGGAAGAAGAGTTTTGGACTTTGCATAAGTTCCTGTTTTTAGTAACATCTTTTTGCATAAGGTTCCTCCATCTGCAGTTGACAATGCACAGATTCCAGGTATCTTTTAGACATCTACACACATCATTTCTGTATACATTTCCTGTTGTTACATATTCAGCAGTTATATTTTTTAATAAACCAATGTATTTCCTACAGCATATTACATACTTCGGATATATTGATATGTTGTACGTACACTATATTTCTCTGTATCAATTTCTAAACAATTTTTCATTTTCTCAGGGCAGAATTGCATATTTTAATATAAATGCCACTGTATCACTTGCTCCAAACTCCGCTCATGTTTCATTCTATTTTATGACTCACTGATACACTACAACCAGTCACTGTGACTACTACTAAATGTAAGTATATTCTAAACAGTATTCTAAGTTTAAAACACATTCAGACCAATATAGGTGAATAATATCTTATTCTGTATTATCACTGTGTCATTTCCTGTTCAGAGTCGGAAACAAAAGTTTGATTGCTAAAACTGACATGCGCAGGCGGGTTTACGGCGCATGCAGCTTTTACAAAGTCAAAATGTTCTACCAAAGTAAAATATCATTGTATAAAGAAGTCAAATAAAAGTCATACAATCACACACGTTTTAAGCCCTATTTACATGCATAAAAAAGCATTAGCTCTATCATTCTACGGTCACCTTTATTAATGATGCCATACACTTAAAGTAAGATATTTGCTGTTAGAGAGGAATTACTTCAAATGTTGTTGGCGTTATCTTGAATATTCAAGGTGGTAAAAGGTCACAGAAACTTAAGGTAGTTACAACAGGAACATTAAGCATTTCAGTTTGTACAAATACAAAGTTTTCATCTTAAAACCACAGTATTCTAGGGCGCTACTACAGAGCTACAGAATATTACTTTGGATATCTCTAGTTTACCATAAACACTTGCTCAGGACGTTGGTCAACTTCCCATATACTTTCTTCACCACTTTCATAGATACATTTCCCCTTTGAAACTTAATCCTATCGCCTGTCTCGGCTTTCAGATCTCTCTTGAAGATTCTGCTCAGTCTGGTTGGTAAACGTACAACTATAATGAACTAGTCTGGATGTTGTCTAGCTTTAGATTTAGGACTGAATAGGAATCAAGAAGACATCAAATCCAAAGACTAAGCACCCAAATCTCTCATTCTTAACACTTTCAACCCTCCACAACATGCTACTTTCTAAAAAAAAAACACTTTCGGTAATAACACTGTCCAAACGTTCAACTATTAACTCTCACAGTTTGTGTCTGTGAAGCTCATAAGCTTTTCTGTTTCTGTGTTTTGTAGTTCTCTCCCTGTATTAAATAAGTATTCCACTCGAAAGCCAACACTTCTCATTGAATAATCAAATTTAAGGTAGAGTTTGTTTTCACGATTTTGAGTCCAGGTAAAGAATTAAGCTGATCCAAAAATCTACATCAACCAAACACTAATATTTAACTTTACAGCAGCAGAATGCATAATGTTAACTAGTATAATCATAAGATCTAACAGACAGGGACTTGAACACTTAAAAAGCGTTGCCCATGTTCAGTAATTTAAGGTTAAAATTAAACAAAAATAACTCACTGTGCCAATTTCATTAAATTATGCCAAGTCTCTCTCAACCAAACAACCACGTTTGAAAATATAAAAGACACTCTGAATACATTTAAAAGTTCACCTTCACTGAAACCAAGAAACAATCTGGCATCTTTTCTGAAAAATATAATACTGTAATAGCACTTTTAGAGTAGGAGCCTGTCCTCTTTCCATAACACTTCACTACAGTGAAAGTAAAAGTTCACAACCTGCTATAGGAGCCAGTCCCTAGATCAGCCCAACAAAGGAAACTTTTTTGAAAATGGCACAAGAATTAACTACAGCAAGGTTATGTTGAGAAAAAAAAATCACTGTAAAACAGTAAGAGATATAAGCGGCATCTTTCATTGGCCGGGAAAAACCTAAAAATGTTAGTTATTCTGGACAATACAGTATGTCGCTCTCAATCACTAAACTAAGTACAGTTAAACACCTTACTTCTGTTTCATTAAAACTAACCTAGACTTTATTTCAATGTCAGTGTTTCACTCACACAGAATTTTAAGAAATTAAAGTAGTCTTGTTTCTAGTTTTTTTCCTATAGACTACCTTAAAATTGAATGGATTGTAATCATATTTATAACAGGTCAGCCTTTACACGCGATATACTTTGATACATTTATACTTTGATTTAAAGATGTTCTATTCCTGCACAAGAAACACAATCTGTATCTAATTCATTTGCGAAAAAGAACATCCAAAATAAAGAATCAACATCAACCATTGAGCTGTGTCCAGACCTCAACCTGAGGTTTGATGGACTGACAAACCACAGAGAACAAGGTTGCTGCTGTGGGAATAAATCTCTTACTCAATGATGGGAGCTGAGCGATCGTTGGTGACAGTTCTTCTGAGTCGGACGTGGGCAAATGGATTGGCCCTGAAAGGAGGAAAGAAGAAAAATGAAAGGTATGAAAGTTGCACACTATATAAACTGGTGATTAAAGGGGAGCTTCTGCAAATAAGTATTGTACATTAAACAGTAGGAAGTGCAAGAAACAAGCAAAAAGAAACAAGAGTAGAAGTACTGCTCACAATGACAATGCTAACATGCTGATGTTTAGCAGGTATAATGTTAAGCGTGTTCACCATCTTAGTTTAAGGAGTTCACATGTTAATATCTTCTATTGAGCTATTATTTAATGCAATTCATCTTATGGGGACTTTGAATACTTGTATCAAATTTCCTTAATAACCGAACAAGGCAACCTCATGGTCGCGCTGGATGAAAAGTCAAGTCATCACCAAAGTCATTAGGATTCATCCTCTCGGCACCATGAATGTCTATACAACATTACATGGCAACTCATCCAAGAGTTGTTGAGATATTTAATTTTCCACCAAAGCAACAGACCTGACACTGTCATGCCCAGAGCCATGCTGTTAGCTTAGCTAAAAAACTAAATTGAATGCCAAAAACACTGGATTCTACTCGTCCCATGATGACATATTCGAGCCCATAGCTTCTTATGTTAGACCCTCCTTGCCTGGTAGTTTCAAACTCAAAGCTCCTAGTTTGTAACCCTGCCTTCAGTTTGAAATTGTGACATATAAAGCTGGTGGAATGTCCCTTTAATGACAAACAAAGCACCTTTGAATTGCTAAAAGTTACCTGGTTGGAGAGGGTGGTGGAGAGACCAATTCTGCGGTGATCTGAAATGTGAAGAAGAGATAATATTAAAAGGATATTTTGACTAAATCTCCATTATTATGAAGCGTCTGTATCTCCTCCATTAACAGCGAGGCTCAGTTTGGAGAACACATTGACCTTTGACCTCCTCCCAAAGGTTTCATGTTTCTGACCTTGTTGCTGTCGGCCATGCTGTATGGGCGCGGGCGGAAAGTGCTGACCCTCTGTGGAGGAAGGGAGTGCTCCTCCTCTGATTCGGGGGTGAGGGCCGGGAGACCTGCAGACACCAGCTTGTCAAGTTGGCCCGTACTGGTGCTGTTAGCCTTAGACAAGAAGAGAGAGCTGGAGGGAAGGAAGAGGAAAGAATATACAAGGAAAAAGACAAAAGGAAACATGAGTTGAGATCTGTTGGTTTTGTGTTAATTCATCAACAAAGCTGTTGGTGTTGGAAGTGACTGTACGAGGGAAAGGGCGGTGGAAAGACCGAGAGGGCAAACGGTAAGTGTCATTCTGCAGTTTATGAGCTCCTCTGCACTTTCTGGTGTGTCCGGCTGAGGATGTTTTGATTTATTGAGAATACAGATGGAATTGGTAAGGGTGTCATATTATTGTCCACATGAAAATGACCCCATTAAGGTTTTCTGTGAATAAAGCAATGTTATAACTTCCTACTTTTTGCCGATTGCTGATCAAATGAGTTGTAAAACAACTGAAGGGAAGAGAAGGAAGAAGTTCTGTCACCAACAGTGTCAAAGTTCATCGACAATCTCTAAACCCCCAGATTTGAGTGTCTGTGCTTCTTTGACTTACCTCTCGAGGTGATCCATCTTACTGTGCTGTGACTGAGTGTAGGAGAAAGGGAACCAGCCTTTCCTGTGAGGGAACATTTGATGAATAACATAACAAGAGTATAAATCAGCAAGTCAGGGGTGTGTGTGATGAAGAAAACTCTCTATTATCCTATATGAATATATTTGTTAACCTGGTGATAGAGAGACGCTTGCACACAACATGCAATGTGAGAAGTTGTCTGAATCAAGAAAGAAAAAGTAGTTCTACTTAAACTTGAAAGAAACACAAGGTTAAGGGGAAGTGGTGTCCTTGATTTATTTCGGCTATGGTGACGCCTGAACACACAGCCTTGTCTTATGGCATGAGACATTTCAGAGTCTTCTAATGTTGTGCATCACAGTGCAAAACATTACAAGGCCCTTTCAAGTTATACGGCCGATCATTCTGTGGTTTTCTACATCAATGTGAGGTTTGTAAAACATACCGTCCAGTTCGTTCATTTTGACCGTAGTGCCACCCGTCTCTGGGCTCAGAGATGAGCAGGGTGATGTTGTCACCAGGCAGGAAGTGCAGTAAGCAAGCCCCGCCCCCTAAGCCGCCGCCCTCCAATGCTCCGGGAGTGTGAGCGAACATGGCTTCCACACTGGAAGGTCCAGATAAAGGCAGCATCCTGGGGAGACTGGAGCCTTGGGAGAGAAGAAAGACGATTAAAAGTTATAATACTTAAGACAAATTGTCCACCAACACATGGCTGACAATCTCTTTATCTCACTGATAACAGTTTGACTATTTAGTTTTCAATCTCCCACAGCTGTGTCAGAAGTGTATTAAGTTACTGCTAATGAAAACACAACATTGACTTATGCTGCTGCTTCACATTAAAAGTATTTTTGTCAGCGGATCACTTGTAAACATTTCTGGGAGTAATGACGTAAAAAGGTTGTTGAAATTAAATAATTCCTTATAAAAAACAATGCGAGTTTGTTTGGCTGCGCTGTCACACCAGTTGCTCTTCTGTTGTATTTCTATCAAAGTAGCTGCTCCATGAGTGTTTGCCCCGCACCACAGATGTCACCAAATCAACAGGCTGGAGACACTCAAGCATACAGAAGAGACTCGTCACATCTTACCCTGAAAGCCGCCCAGCCTCATTTCACTGACAGGTCTCTTCGGCAATGGAAGTGTAGCTGTTGCACACATGTCAGCGGTCTTCAGCAGCCAGGGATTATGTGACGGTGATGAAGCATTGCTTCCCCCTGGTCCCACCTGTTGGTGCAATAGCTGCACAGGAGTCATGGCCCTGGAGAGAGGAGCACTGTGGGGCAGCGGTGGACTGTGAGGAGCGCTGTGGGTGATGGGGAGGGTCATGCCGCGCAGAGAGATGCCGGCCGAGGAGATCTGGCTGAGCGACATCACCGTGGAGGGGATGAGGCTCGGGGAGAGGTTGGAGAGGTTGGTGTTGGTGGCCAGGAGGAGAGAGCTTTGCTGGGCCGAGCCGCCGGACGTGGTGGGGGTGGACGCAGCCGGGCTGACGCTGCCACTGGCACTGCTGTCGGGGAGAGGGCTGGCTGATGCACTGAGAGGTGTGCTGGTGTGCTGAGGAGACGCTCCTCGTGATGAACCTCCAGCAGCTCCTCCAGTGGAGAGAGAGCAGAAAGTCTGGGGGGAGCCCTGTGGAGGACAGGCTTCACTATGGGAGGAGGAGGGGAGTGAGCGCTGCTGGGGGCGACTGGAGTCTCCATTCAACAGAGGAGGGACTTCTTGAACAGAGAGCCTCTGAAAAATCAAGGACAGATATTGTTAACTACCAGAAACTAGAAGCCACTGTTAAAAATCTAATATTGTGAATGTAAAATAAGTTTCCAGGTACCAAAAGTGTGGACTCGAGTCACCTGACTTAGATTTGAGTCAGACTTACAAATCTGGTGACTTTAGATTTGTCTGGGCAAAATCAAAAAGGACTTTGTGACTTCCAGTTTGACTTCTCTTGGACTTACAGACTATGCATCCAAGATTTTAGAAGCCTAAATGTTTTATTTTAGAATCAATTAAGAATCAGCAATATCTTAGCTACATATCTGTCATTGATGGGTTACTGTTCTTAATTCTATAATGACTAATATAGGAATTAATTTGTGACTTGACTCAGAACTTCCTAGCAAGGCTTGTGAGTTACGTGTAACTTGGAAAACAATGACTTTGTCCCAACTCTCGAGATGGTTTTGTGGGTTTCAAGCCATCAACCCACCATGTAATCCTTCTGTGGGAACCACACACGATGCTGAGATTAATACTAAGTCCAAAGAACACATCAGACATCTGACACGGTATAAATAAAAAATATCTGACCTGTTCTGGCTGAGCGGAGCCGATCTTTGTGTGGCGGAGGACCTCGGCTATCCCAGCAGCCCCTGAGCCTTGAGGCGCAGTGTGACGCAGCAGATTCAGAGCGCGCTCTGGGAGTTTCGTGGGCTGAGAACATGACTGCTGCCAACAGGAGAGTTTCTGAGACAGAAGCTCTCTCACCTGGATAATATTCAGAAGGAGAATAATGTTAAAGGAGAATACTTTAATAGTAGTTGGGGACTAGTTTCAGCTCTGGATTAATACATCTGGATTTCAGAACGTTACCTGATGAATGAATAAGTAAATGTGAACAGATCACCTTGGAGTGGTAGTTGATGAGCAGTTTGGTGACACAACACTGTCTGTCCACCAGGAAGCAATATCGTCTCCTTTCCTCTGTGAGCGCAGACTTGTAACCCGAGGCCACCAGTGCGTCCAGCTCGCCTTGGCGACGACTCATCAACTCCACAAACTGAAGGAAACGCCAGAGAGATTTAACTGCAAACCTGAACATCCTTCAACATGCACGTACAGTCCTGTATTCACAATCACATGCACACATGTAGCACTCAGAGGCGGAGTGACCTTTAATGCACATTGTACGGAGGGAGGAATAAGTGAGGTCATATCCTGCCTGTTGCACAACGATAACCAAATCCAAATCATAAATCTCTATACTTTTGCCCCGGTGACATTTTTGATCCGACATGACCCTCCAAGTGGCTAAACCCTTTCACCCTGTTATATCATTCATATTCCTCCAGTAATGGCTTGAGCACTAAGTGGCTCTGAGGAATCAGCTGAGGCAGATTGTTCTTTAATCTTATTCACACTGGCCTATTTCTTACACAAATGCTCACACACCTTTTTTAATCTGCTGTTATGCTGAGTGTTTCTGAGTTGTGCATTTTACTTAAAAATCGGTGTATTAAATATGTATTTCTTTCCACCACCCATGTGGAGCTCTGGGCTTCACTTACCTGCATCTCTCTGTCTCCATATTTGTTCGGGTGGCGACTGCCCTGGCTCTTCCTGCGGAGTTTCTTCAGCTGAGACTGGCAGCGCTCGATAGACTCAGATTTAGACCTCCGCTCACTCTGATACTTCTTGAGAGTGGCCTGAGAGGGAAGAGGAAACAAATCAGAATATTTATTCAATAAGTGTTGAATGAAAGAGCGAATATTTAAGATTTATGTGTGGTGGAGTCCACTTTTATTTATTAAGGTGACATTTTTTTTTCTTAACCATTAATCAGCTACATTTAACACAATTATCCTTCGGTATTGTCACATCATTTATTCAATAATTTTCATTATTAATTTAAAGTTAGCTACACAAATAAACTTGCCTCCCACTGCCTTTGCCTTCCAGCAAAATAAATGAAACGAAACATTTCATATATCAAAAGTGAATGGATGTTTTAACTTACTGTGAGGTATTTAATATCCAGTTCCAGCTTCTGCTCCAACTGGGCGAGCAGCTCAGAGTGAAACAGCTTTAACTGTTGATGAAAGATCCATATGCAGAGTTTTAGAGGAGACTGACGCTGTGACGTCCACTAAAAGGCCTTATCACAATTAATACAAAAATAAATATACTAACTTTCTTGATAAACTAACAATGGTACTCCTTCTGGTCACAATATATATTTCAAAATGTTTGCTAGAATAATAGTTTGCCGATAACATGAAATTATTTGAGCACACAGTCTTACCACGTCTTCCAGCTGCACCTGAATCTGTCTGTGGACCTCGGCCATCTGAAACAGTGTGTCTCCTGTGAGCAGCAGTAAAACACAGGCCAGTGAAGGCAATCAGTATTATACACATGATTGAGATAATCTGCGTTTATTAGTTAACCTGTGCAGAAAGCTTTAAATCTGTGCTCTAATGATGGCTGTTCACAACAGTGTCAACATCTACAGAGATGCAGGACAACACATCAGTAGAAATGTCATAAAACTTGCTGTTTTAACACAGTTTCTCATTTACAAAGTGGCGGTCGGCTGTGTGTCCGTCCCTCAATCACACAGCTCTGTAGTATGTGGTGGCTGGCATCTCGCCCTCCGACTCTCCTGCCTGCCTCCCCCGCTGTTTTCAGCATTACAATGAGATCATGTGGTGTTGTTAATCTCCCAACAATGACCCTACTCTCTCCCTTTCCCTCTGTTCTCTCCCCCTCTCTCTACATTTCCTCACTCCCTCTTGTCTTCATCTCCTCCCTCACCAACACAGACTATTTTCAACTTCTCTCCAGCTGTCACATCCACTCTCTTAACTTTATTAGGTCCATCACAAACTTATTGATATTTGCTCCTCAACCCGGTCCTTCTCTACCAGCCGCCCACTCACCCAGCTCTTTGGAGCCTTGGCTGTCGCTCGCCAGCTCTCCAAGTTTCACCAGAGCATCAAAGTACCCTTTGGCCGCCACAGTTACTCCTGAAGAAGAGAGTACATATTGGGGAAAACTGAAAGATATCCTGTTCAGTGATTCAGACAAATCAAAGGCCAGTGGCTCCTGAATTATCCCGTGTTTGACTAACCTGTCAGGGCTTTCTCATAGTGTTTCCCCATGGTCACAAAGTTCTTCAGACTGGGGTTGAACTGGTCCAGAATCCCCTGTTGACAATGATACATAAATAACAAGGATAGTTCAATTTTGACAAGCAAATTTGAGGAGCTTTTTCATATTTTAAACCAATTCTCTACACTTGATTAGGTTCAATGTTGGTGCAGATAAGAAAGAGAAATAGACAGAGGAGACATACCTTATAGACATTTTCTGTCATCTTGTTGACCTCTTCTGTTCGAGACATGTTTCTTCTCTCAGTTATATGCTGCCACAATGTGATTTTGTATTGTTTGTTTCTGTTGTTCAGGGCCTTAAGCTTTACAGAAGACAGCTACCCCCTAAAGGAGGAAACACAAAGAAACGATACAGTGAGTGATGATCTCAAACAATGACCCATAACATTTACCCCAAAACTTGATGAGTATATCTACCTTCATGTCAATAGAGGAAAGATGCTATCAATGCACTTATTTGTGTTATTTTATATTTCACAGCAAGTGTCAATTTTTGTTATTGTGCCACGTGTAAAGAGGACCTCCTGAAACAACCGTATAATAAAATCATTGGGAGGTTTCAAGTAGAAGAACTCCTTTGCTCTTAAGAAGCAACTACAAAAATCTGAAATCCTCATATTCCCAACACAATAATCTCTACAGCGCCATTGTTATCTCTATAAATGACTGTATGGCTGAGATTTGAACCAGCCAGAGGGTTTTTTAAGGCCATCGACCCATCACAATAAGTGAAGAGGATGTCAGACCGTCTTGTGTTTTGTCTGAGGTCAGCAGTGTTATTTTCACATGGATCTCCTCTGTGTCTCAGCTGCCAGTTTCTCCATTATCGCTTCGCAACATTACGGCAACCTAAATATTTCTCCAAGATTTGTGTGCCAGACGAGTTATACCATTTCAGATAAGAACAATGGGCTCCTCCAGTCCGAGTCACAGGTGTCAGAGCACTGAATAAACACGCGACAACAATGTTTCCTCGGCCGAGAGGACGATCAAGGGGAGGGGACTGCTGCTGGGTCGAAGGATTGCAAGTCTGGATTTTATGGCAAAATGCTCATTCGGTTTTCCCTGTGCAGTCCTCCTTTGTTACAGCGAGATTACAGAGAAAACGTTGACCCAGATCAACTAATAGTATATGACACAAAGAAAACATTTCCAGTCTCTTGCTCATTAAGGCCACCCTGGTGTATTCTGTAATATGTCAGAGGAGCTGCATTAACTGCAGGAAAAGACAGAAAAGTGGGAGCTTTGTCCAAACTTTGTTTAGTTTGAAGGACTTTTAAAGCTTTGCACATTAATTCAAATTATTAAATAAAATACTGAAGAGAAATAAAAGATCATTTGCGTGCGTGTATATTCTATCTTAATGTGGTTTAATTCTAAGACAAGTGTTGCTTGTTTCAGGATGCAACAGGAACAGTCTGCAGGTGGTTGGGAAACCGATACAGAAGATGCATTCATGCGGTTTGGCCTCTTTAAATTTCTTCAAATGGTTTGGAAGCAAACATTGCATTTAAAAAACATGAATTAACCATTAATCTCACGTGAGTCTGCAACGAAAGAATTATGATCTCCAACCATTTTGATAATTGATTACTTGTTTGAGTCACTTTTCAAGAAGAGGATTCACTCTGTAGAACATGATGGTCAGCTGAACAGCTTTGGGTTTTAGAACAATGCTCAGAAAAAAAGAATTGATTGTTGAGCAAATGATGGCGACTCTTTTTATATTTTTTGACATTGCTGAACCAAAAAGACAATTGTATTTAAATGATTCATGCAAGAATTCAAAGCAACAGCGCATTTTGGTGGTTTTGAAGGCATCTTGTTTTGTTTCATGTTTAAATGATGCCAGATATTCATGCATCTACTTCCTGCCTTTCTCTAGAGAATGAATGGTGCAACATTGCAGCTAAAACAGTACTCCAGCACTCAGTGAGCCTTTTCTTCTGCACCATCTCATCTTATTTCAACAAGTACATCAACGTCTTTGGAAATACTGAGACAAATGCAATATAACCCCCCCCAAAAAACACAACATGCTAAACCTGCGTGCCTGCGCATATGAACATGAATAAATAAGTTGGGTAATTACACAGTGGATGTTTTTCCTGAGTATTTACTTTACGCTTTTTCCTAAGCACCCTGTCATTTGTTCACACGGTGCAGCGCAGTAACAGCTACCTGTTGATCTATCAGCTCCACTTCCATTTGTAAAACAGTAACACATAATTCAGCTACTTTGAAAAAAAAAAAAAAAAAAAAAAGTTACATACCTTTTCTGATCTCATTGTGGGAAACGATAAAGGCTTCCTGCGCGTCTTTGAGTGCTAAATGAACAGTACAACACCCCCTCTTTTCTTCCCATTAGGCTACTTTCCCTCTCGGTTAGTTGGTGGGGGGTTGTTTCATCCAGCAGAGCACTAAATCTCCCCTCCACCCCTTTTTCACATGGCCCTCTCTCTCCTTTCCCTCCTCTCTCTGCCGCTCTACTCTCAGGAATCGGGGTCAGATATTTGGTGCCGTTCAGTACCTCTCCTCATTACTGAGCAGATTACAAACATGCCTCCACGCCCGCACAAACCGGCCAGGAAAAAAAAAAAACACCGACAAAAACCCCCGCCCAGTACAACCAGCTCCGTGCAGTTGGAAACCACAGTCAGCCTCCCATTCTGTGTCTCCCTCTCTCTCTGTCACTCGGGCAGAATAACAATGAGCCAACGGGACCTCGTCTGAATAGGAGCAGGAGAATAATGACTTGAACGTTTTAAGCCAAAGACAGAGCAGCACATGCAGGCCTATCGCTGGCCTACATACACCCGGGCCTTCACATATTCCTGCTCCCCATTCTCAAAGGGGGGACACAAGTAGGAGGAGGAGGAGGAGGAGGAGGAAGAGGCCCTGCGTGGCCCTTCATTTACTGCAATAAAATGCTAAGAAGATTAAAGGCTAATGTATGAATAAAGTGGGCCATTCTGCACAGTGAACTATTTTACTTTCGGTACTTACCACTGTGACACTACTAATACTTGTGTACTTTTACTTAAATTAGAATTTCATTTTACTACAGGGTATTTGTACAATGCACTATTACTTTTTCGTCTGTAAAATATCTGAACACTTCCTCCACCCTGCTTGTAGATGATAGTTTTTCACACAGTGTTGGAAAGTATATTTACTCAAGTACTCAACTTTACCAGAGCTGTAACTCTGAGCTACTGAGGTCACTCTCACAGGCTGGAAATGCTAAAACTATGTATTTACTTATCATTTTGTTGGTCTTAAAGTAGTCTAATTTAATCACACATAGTCTAAAACACTGGAATCAGTTTATAATATAAGCACCATGTGTTTAATTTCAGAATTTAAATCCCCTCCAGTTAACTGAATTGATATAGAGGTCATGACGTCAGTGTTCTCAATAGTAGCCCTGTACTTGTATTTTATGCTACTTTGTACTTTTACTCAACTACATTTCCGATTGAATATTGTACTTTTCATTGTACTATATTTATTTGACAGTTGCAGATTCAGATTGATACGGTTGTGATATAAAATATGACAAATAGTTTTCCAGTAAATTCAATTACCCAACAGTATATAGAATGCATGTACTATAACTGTCAGATAATTATAGTGGATGTAAGTATTTCCATCTAAAATGTGGTGCATCGGTCTCAAGTACAGTGTCTTGCACATTATGTGGATATGTACATAGAGCCCATAAAGCTAGAGTGGTGGACATCACTTGTGGTGTATTTAGGTGTCTCACTGAAGCTTTCTTTTGTTGCAGTTGCAGGTTTTCACCAGGTGGTGGCGATAGTGTGACATCATTTCCTGCAGCACCTCCCCTGCATCAGACCAACAGCTACAGTGGTGCAACACGTGAAGACTGTAGACATTAAATCTGTATCTTTAAGACCAAAACAGGCCGGTAGAAACAAAAATACACCTTTATAAACGCATGTAATTCACAATGTTGACAATTTCCATCACTGTTAAATAAAACCAATAATGAAACATTGAGCACAGCTATGTTCTACTCAGGTGTTACTTTACAGTCTTCACTGTCCAAACCTCACCTCATCACCGCAGGTCAGGGTCTCTCAAGACAACCTGCACTAAGATATTTTGTATGAATGGACACAACCAGAACAAGTCAAACCTACACCAAAAAAACAGATCAAAGTGTCTTTACTCAGTAGCAGGGCGTCCAGGACCTTCTGTCAATTCAACAGACGAGACCTCATCTCTTTCCGTCATCAGAGTAGCCTCCAGTCTGCCAGCCACAGCAGATGATCTTTTGGGTTCTGGGTCACCTCGGTGTCGAGGCGAACACATTGGAATGTCTGTAGTCTGCCGTCCTTGGACCTGAGCCGTAAAGCCGTTTGTGTCGGCTTGCTTCCTCTCTGGGCCTAATTCACACGTGATAAGGAGATTGACAGACAGGAGAACTCAACTCATACTGACTTATGAAACAATAAAGATGACTCATACACACCTGTCACACATGTCCAAAAAGACAAAGACAGGTGTCAAAGTATCACCACACATAGAAATAAAGCTCTCTGCGAGGTCAAAACCAGTCCAAAACATACCTGAAAAATATGTCAGTTCTGAAAGTACAAATAATTTGCAAAACTAACTCTCTTCCAGGCACTGATGAGGGAAATCCATGTAAAAGTCATGATGCTCATTGATTTACAACATTAAACTTAAATAACAAATGACAAGATGTAGGTAAA